AAATGGAATCACTTGAGCTTGAAATCTACTTACAGGTAGCAGCCATGTCTCATGTCTAAAATCCTTTCTGTAACCCCACGATCATTTTCACCCTGACCCATGTTAATTCTGAAGCTTGGTCATCTGTTTCCCAGCTTGTTGATTTTTTAAAATTAATTTTATTTATTTACTCTTTTCTCATCTATTACACCCCTGACCACAGTTTCTCCTCCCTCCTTTCCCTATCCTCTCCCCCCCCCACCTCCTCTATCTCCCAGAGCTACCCACCCCCTGCTGTTTCCCTTCAGAAAAAAAGCAGGCCACCCAGGGATATCAACCAAACATGGTACAGTAAATCAAAGTAAGACTAGGCACATACCCTCATTCAAGGCTGGATGAGGTGACCCAGTAGAAGGAAAAGGGTCCCAACAGTAGGCAGCAGAGTCAGAGAAAGCCCCTGCCCCCATTGAGTCAGTCCCAGTCAAACAAACTGTAAACCCTAACAAATATGCAGAGGATCTCGGTCAGACTCATACAAGCTCCTGACTGTCATCCTTCAGTCTTTGTGAGCCCCTATGAGCTCTGGTTAGTTAATTTCGTGGCCATGTTCTCCTGGTGTCCTTGACCTCTCTGGCTCCTACAATCCTTCCTCCCCCTCTTCTTCAGGATTCCTCAGGCTCTGCCTGATGTTTGGCTGTGGGTCTCTGCATCTGCTCCTGTCAGTTGCTGCATGAAGCCTCTCTGATGACAGTCATGCTAGGCTCCTGTCTAAGGATACAGCAGAATATCACTAGGGATCATTTCATTGACTTTTTTTCTCCAGTTTGGTTCTATCCTAGGTCTCTGGGCTATCCAACCTCTGGTTCCTGGCTGTCCAGGCAGTGTCAGGTGTGGGCTTCCTCTTGTGGTGTGGGTCTCAAGTTGGAGCAGTCACTGGGTGTCTGTTTAGAAGAGCTGTGTTGGGGAAGTCAGCCTACATGGATAGCTACTCTGATTCTGAAAACTTTCAGACTTATTTCTGCAAATGCTATAGCACCTTAAAAGATGGAATCTCTGTTAAAAGTTAGTTTCTACCCAGAGCTTGTAAGCCCCCCTCATGATCAGTCTCAGGGTGATGTCATTTTATCCAGATGGAACAAGACTTGGTCTCCTCCTGAAGGTGCTCTGCTCGGTCCCTCTGTATGTTCACACAGGTGAAGAAGTGCAAGGCTCATGACGTCCATGATGAAACATTGGCGGCTACCACTCAGCACCACAGAAGGCACAAGGGCCTGCACCATCACGGCTGTCTGTCCACTACCCATCTGAGATCCTTCTGGCTCTGAGCTGAGGTGGCAACCCCAATCCAGAGTCTGCATGGACCACACAGGATCCACACTGACTCCCCCCACAGACTGTTCTACTGCACAGAACATGTTCCCTACTTAACCTGAATGGGAACTGCAAGTTTTGTTTTCACCATGAAGCCCCTGTCCTTTCACTGTGACTGTCAGGCTCTTCTACCCACTTGCTCTTTCTGGAAATGTTACTTCCCTCTGCCCATGGTCTATGTCTCTGCTATGCAGCCACTCAAGAGTGTCACACTCTTATAAAGTGTGTGTCACACTGCAGCCAGCACTGTAGGGTCATGTGTCCTGGAGGGAACAGCAGACACTAAGGGAAGGCACAGGCTACCTTCTCCTCACTCCCAAAAATACTTACTGCAACAAACAAACAAACAAACAGACAAACAAAAATCTACAGAAAACAAGGAAGGCAGAGAGTGACAAGTGTTCCCCACCCCCAGGGGATACAAAATATTCTATACCCTGGAGCTCCTTTCACCCCAAAGACCCTTTTAAAATTTGGCTGAAGAAGGACAAACATGAATATAGACCTCACTGGCTGGCAGGGATAATGCAGCTTATGGAGAAACCCCAGCTACATACACTGTGCAGAGCCTATGGCATCATGGGTAATGTCCTGGGAGCACACCAGACATAGCAAGGAGGGTGCCTGTAGGTGGACACTGCCATGCAGTACACAGACTCTTACACACCAAGCCATGAATATACTCTCAGGGGGAGCCTCTACCTAGGGTCCCAAGGGCCAGTGCACAAGCAGAATCCCTGCCTGTCCCACACTGCCCAGCTGGCCCGCCACGTCTACAGAACCATACAGAACCAGCCCACAGGCAGCACCCCAGCTGCCACCTCCATGCTCTGGCCTGCAGGCCAGTGCCTGTGCCTCCGCCTCAAGCACAACCCTATGCCCATGAAAATGACAGGCAGCAACTCATCAATGACAGGACTACCTACACGGCCAATCCCAGTGAACAGAGTAGGGGATGTGGCAGCCATTTGTCACGAACACCCCACTGCCAGAGGCTCACCCCACCCTGCTTCCACAGGGCAGAATCATTTCCTAAAATGTCACAGTGGCAAGCACAATCCCTGGCACTCACCAGGACCCCAGGGTTCTTCATGTAATTCAGTTTTCCACAACACACATTGGATTCATGACACACACTCTCTCCAGCCTCCAGGACATCATTATATCACAGGGTACCGTGGTTCCCTGTCCTCCCCATCCACACCCCAGCTGCAAGGATGGCATCTAGGCAGCACCACACCCTGTACTGTCCTGCCCCCATCCTCCTCACCCCAAGCTGTGTGAGGAGGAGGATGGTGAGTGATGACACACGCAGAAGGACAGCAACACACTGGACTCAGCCTCTCATGTGAACCCATAACCACAACAGCACAACTGCAGCCAAACAGTAAGTACTTAAACAAGCATGTGATGAAATAAATGCAGCCTGAGCAAGAGCAGGGGGTGCCATCACTGCAGCCTGTCAGGATGCCATGGGTCCCGTCTATCACACACATGGCCACAGTGTCCCCAGCCACTCCAGTGTCTAGTAACTGCACATACCTTTTGATCACCTCCCAAGGGGCTTAGGCCCTGCTGTGACACATCACTAAATACCCTCACAAGATAAAGGCTGCACTTAAGAGACCATGTGTTCCTGGTCTGGTCTTAGCCAGTGTGTGGAGAGAGGTACAGCCAGCCTCTTACTAAAAGTGGCTGTTTAGCACATATGGTCTAGAGTCCTTGCAGGGATATTTTTGTAGAAATGGGGCGGGGGTGGGAGGAACATCCCCTAAGCACATGGCTGTGCCCAGAACGAGTTCTCTGCCATCCACATCCAACCCTAGGCTGACCTAACCTAGAAGGCAGCAAAGTCCACCTAGAGCCTCCTTAGACACTGTGCCCAGCTACCAAGACCAGACTCAAGACAGCAGTAACCTGAAAGCCTGCTTCAGCTGAGACCTCTGACCCTCAGGAAGTGGGGCAGCAATGTGAGTCTGGCATAAGTTCTCCTGGAGGCTCCTGGGAACCAGTCAGGCCAGGAGTGCATACTGTCCAGTGGGAACTCAACATGCACTGAGTAGCCACTGTGCATCAGGAATGCGGGCCCTTTTCTGTACGCAGGCAGTTAGGGTAACAGGTCAGGCAGGTACCTGTAGAGCCAGCCCTGCTTCCCAGTGTGTCATGGTGAAAACAAGCATACTGTGGGAGCCAGAGCTGAGCATTTAATCTAAATCACTTGGTGACAGGGCAAGTCATGCTCCCTAGGGCCTCCAAGTTCTCAGGATGCAGGAAGGGCTAGGTAGGCCGGATGGCTTCAGCTCCAGAAACCTCGCATACACCTAGTGGGGCAGGAAGCCAGTTCATATCAACCACTTATAAACCATATACATGAGGCTAAGGAGGGCACCTGGAGTCTCAGCCAGCCTAAGATCACAGTCAGCACACTGAGCAGCTCACAGGACAACTGAATTCTGTAATGACAGGGGCAGCAATTATGGACTGGTGGGCAGGCTGGTTCTCTGTCTGTCAAGCCCAGGGTAGCACCGGCAGCTCCTTCCCCTGGCCAATGCCTTCACTTGGCCATGGGCCTTCCTTCTACCGTGCCCTTATCTGGGCTGCCCTCACTAGGAGTGAGTCTTCACACACCAGTTGAGGAAGCTGGGGCAGCTCAAGTGAGGTTCCCTACACAGAGCATTCTAATTTGCAGCAAGTGGACACAAGACCAACAACTGTTACCCCTGAGGTCTCGGCAGACCTCGGTGAGACTGTGCAGGATTTCACTGACTCCTCTGACAGCCATCAGATGGGAAGCAGGGAGCTCAGAACCATCTGATAAGCACAGAGCCGAGAAACATGATCACTGAGCTGCCACAAGTTACCACACTGGGAACCCCAGGGCCACAGGCCACCTAGCCTATGGAGAGCTGGAGGCAAGGGAGTGACCACAGATAGTGTAGACTTCTGTCCCTACAATGCTGGTGTCTTTGCTGTACCCTAGACTGTCCCACCCTGCCCAGCAAGGGCCTTGCCCACTAGGAGCGGACTCAAGGACTCTCTCACACCTGGGAAGGGTCAACAGTCCTCACAATACCTGGGCCACTTCTTGGGGGACTCTGGTAGTCTGGGATCTGGGAACCTGGACCATGGGGTTTCCTGGTGGAACACACAGCTGGCAGGACATGGTCAACTGGCCAATGACAAGTGGGTTCCTTACAGCTCTACAGTTAAGCTGGGAAAGGACTTGTACAAAGAGACTAAACAGTGCCTTCCAGTTCACACAGCTACCAAGTGACTCTTAGATGGGAGCTCAGGCCAAGTGGTTCTTTTCCAACTCAGGCCCCAACATATCAAAGGCCCTATGAGGAGGGCCCTGGGGACTGGGGTTACACCAGGCCCTCAAGGGTCACACAGGTGAGGACATGGGGCTCAGGGAGCCTGGGGCATGATACATAATAGCTCATGATGCCAGCCCAGTTCACACCATGGTGGCCAAGTGCCCTCAGCTCTGAGTCCCAGCAGGAGGAGCTTGCCCAGCAGCAGGACGTCAGGGTGAGCCACAAGCAGTGTTCCTCACAGCTCCTCCACCAATCAGGCGTGAACTAGAATTTAATAAACCTTTCTCCCAACAGAAATCCTAACTCGGGCTCTTTGGAACAACAGTTACTTACTTGAAAATCTCTTTCTTCTAGAATTTCTCTCCTCCATCTCACGAGGAAAGCAGCACAAACATATAAGTGGAAATGAGAAAAGCCCTCGGGTTCAGACTGAAAGAAAAAACAGAGAGTCGCTTAGTGCACGGAGCCATCAGCTGATGGGTAAAGCCATCTGGGTGGGCTCTCCAGCCACGGCGTGGGGAAAATTCCCTTTCACTCAGAAAATACACTCCAACATGGCCATCTCATTACAATAATCGCCAATTTAAACACCCGCAGTTTGGTAAACCGGGTCTCAGCCTAGGCTTTCAACAATGTCAGGGACAGTAACTTGCTTTGGTCATGAATGACGGCAGCCTGGGACAGTGCCAGTAGATTTGCATGCCCATCCTACACCAGGTACCAAGCCTGAGCTTTGGAGAGCAGCTTCTACTTCCCAGAGGAGAAAGCAAGCCTGAGAGTGAGGAAGGAGGCACAGAGGGACACCAAACAAGCAATGGAGAGCTGTCTGCTGTGTGGGCGTCAATAGGGAATGCAGCTGGCAGGACAGGAAGTCCAGTGGCTTCTACCCGAATTCCCACCCTTCTGTCTCTCTCCAGTGCAGGCGGACGCATCCCTCCCTCTATTCTTACCACCTTATACCGCCATCACCCACGGAGACCTACTGAACTGTCCAGACCACCCCACTGGCCTGCACAGCTCCCTTCTAGAAGGATCTCATTCCTTCACCCCCTGCAACTCCTACCTAAGTTCAAGGCCATACCACCAACTACTCAGATTAGGAGTCCCCAAGCTTAGGGCTCAGTTTGTTACCGTCATGGCTCTGCCATGTCCATGCATACCTATGCAGCTACTGTCACTGGCATATTACGCAATGTAAGTATGCAGTGCATCAGAAGGCGACATGCTTTGGGAAGAAACACAGCAAGCGAGGGGGAAGGATAACAAGAGGGGTGTCTGTGCATGCTCAGGGACCTGCTCTAATTTCTATACAGTGGTCAGTCAGCTTTAGAAACACTCAAGCAAAGAACCAAGAGGGAGTGCCAGGCAGACAACAGAAACACAAAGGTCTCAAGGTCAGAGAGTGCCAGGTACTGTCCAGAAACACTAAGACCAGCATGGCTATGACAGACAGCAAGGCTGGCAGTGCAGGAAAGCTTGTAGGGGACACATCTGCAGGGCCCATGTCACCAGGTGTCCCTATGAGCCTGGAAAGCTCTAAGCAGGCAATCAAGAGGCTCCACTGCTTTCCTACTGAGAACAGGGCACAGGCAAGGTGGAGAGGAAGTGCTCAGGACGAGCCTGAGGCACAGCCAGCAGAAAATGACAGGTGTAAGCCGGGTGGTGGTGGTGGTGGTGGTGGTGGTGGTGGTGGTGGTGGTGGTGGCGCCTTTAATCCCAGCACTCAGGAGGCAGAGTGGATCTCTGAGTTCAAGGCCAGCCTGTTCTACAAAGTGAGTTTTAGGACAGCCAGTACTACACAGAGAAACCCTGTCTCAGAAAAATAAAACCAACCAAAGAAAGAAAGAAAGAAAACAAAACCTGATGTGCACCAAAAGGGGACAAGAGCTTGTAACTAGCACGCCCATTCTAGGTCCGCATTAAAGGGAGAGCCCATAGTATACTGCTGCATGTGAGACTTCAAGGTCTAAGGGGAAGATGGAGGAAGAATCTTAACTCGGTCAGGTTTGCAAGATGAGAGGCTTTGCAACTGCAGCAGAACACATTTGACAGGACAGCTGTGACTCTCCTAAGCCTTAGTGTGGGATGGGCAAGGAGTTAAGAGGTGGTCTTGAGCAGGCACACTGACAGTGGTCAGGGAGCTGCAGGGAGCCCAGAGGCCCCATGCAGGAAGAGTGGGAGTGTGGTCACTGGTCTTAGTGACATGGAGGCCCCTGGGCAGGGCTGGCTGACCACTCTCGGCACTAGGGGTGGGCACTGTTGCTTCATCTCCCTGCACTCCCTGCCCAGCGCTGTGTTAGCAATCTGAACAGCCAAGCCACTTTGCCTCTACTTCCTGGCTGTGAGGGATCAGCTGCCGTCATTTCATTGCAGAGAATGGTGTCTGCTGAGGCTTGGCTTCACAGCAGGTTAGGAAAGTCTCTTGTGCTCCAGAGAGTTCTAATCACTGGCACAGATGATGTCTGTGTCCACTAAGATGATAAACGGTACTCACTCATCTGGTGATGAAGAAGACACCCTGAGAGTTCCTTTGACTGAACCAACCTTGCAGCTCAGCATAAACTGCGTCTGGTCACAGCTTCTAATGGTATCTAGGTCCTGACTGCACCCACTCTGCAAGATGCGACTCTAGACAGCTTTTCTCTAACTTCTTTGTAGGGTCTGAGCATCCAGCTGTTAGCCTCTTTCCCCTTTCCTTTCTCAGAAGGGTACACACAAGTTTGGGATGTGTTTCTTTCTGATTCCCATGTAGTAAGCAGGGTCTGATGACTTCTCTGTGAGACAAACTGCACCCCTGAATTAATTTCTCTATGGTTACAAAACAATCCAGACTTCTTCAGAGTTTTGTATATTCTTTTTTCCAGACATGTCTCATCAAAGTTTTCAGACTTGCTCATTATATATTTTTTTCCTCTAGATTTCTGTGAATTTAACAGTAATATCCTATTTGGAAATGTGTGCTCCACACACACTATTTTTTTTGACAGGATCAGTGTCACTAAGTATCCAAGGCTAGCCCTGAGGTTACAGTCCTCCTCATCACCCTCCTGCTGTCTGGCCCTATTAGAGTTCTTCATTCTACTTTAGTTGCCCATTTCTCCATCTTAGCAGTTAATCTGGTTTAAGCTCAAAGTTTTCTAAAAATAAAACAAAAACAAGCAAACAAACAAACAAAAACCTTAAGATTTTGATGATAGGTGTTCTGGCTGGTTTTGTGTCAATCTGACACAAGTTAGAGTTATCAGAAAGGAAGGAGCCTCCCTCGAGGAAATGCCTCATGAGATCCAGCTGAAGGCATCTTCTCAATTAGTGAGCAATGGAGGAGGACCCAGCCTATTGTGGGTGGTGCTCTCTCTAGTCTGGTAGCTCTGGGTTCTATAAGAAAGCAGGCTGAGCAAACCTGGGGAAGCAAGTCAGTAAGCAGCACTCCTTCATGGCCTCTGTGTCCTCTCCTGCCTCCAGAATCCTGTCTGTCTGCCCTGTTTGTGTTCCTGTGCCGACTTCCTTAAATAACGAGCAGCAGGTGATATGGAAGTGTAAGCCACATAACTCCTTTTTTCCCCAGCTTGCCTTTGGTCGAGGTGTTTCCTCTCAGTAATAAACCCTGACTAAGACAATGGGTATTTGTCAACTTCTCCCTCACCTTGATTATTCCTTCCTCTAAATGTGGCTCCCTTGTAGTCTGGTGTGGGCATGATCAAATACAGACAGAAGTACTGTCTTTTTCCAGTTCCTTTTCTAATTTAAGGGAGCTGGCTGCAAGCTCATTAGTGTCTGGCTTTTTTTCTTTCTGATACACGCAAGCAATACAAGTCTGTCAGTCATCCTCAGAAGCCACACTTGAGTGGTACTCCAGTCTTAATGAAGCTCCATCATCCCAGTCTCTAAGAACATGCCACTGGCTTTTAGATGTCTTTTTTGGATCATACCTGATTTATCAGTACATTTTCAAATCTGAAAATGAACGGGTTTTTTCCCCTTTATCTTCTGAGTTACTGACTGCTGTTAATCAAGTTCTTAAAGGATGGAACTTAAGGATTCCAGTTCTTTGAAGGCAATTTGGATTTGGGTTGGAATAGAACACAGCTTCCACAAATGTTTCCTGAAGCAGCATCCTTGGAGGACAGAGCGTGAACAGTGAAGCCACAGTCCTGGCTCTGACACAACTGATATGACTAGGCTGCCAGTGAGTGACCCACGTGAACCACCCCACACTCTGTAAGTAGTCATAACAAACCTGGTTCACCAAACTTGACCTGGACATGGTCCTTCCTTTGCTTTGCTGGTGTCTGGGGTGAGTCAATGTTTCCTTTAGATATCCATAGAAAAAGTAATGCCATAAAATGTCTGCTGTTCTTAAAAACATGGCTGAAATTCTTGGAAGTAGCAATTTATATATGTTTATTGAAGAAAATTAACTCACAGTGTTAAATAATCTTCAATCTACCAGGAAATAAGGATGTGTTTAAAAAAAATCCCTATGACAATAGTAGATTTATTTCCTCCTCATGGTTCTGCTGAATTTGTTTTCTGTACTTGAAGGTATGTTATTTGGTGCATACGAATTCAAAATGTCTTCAATATTACTGTCAATAAGCATCACCCCCTTCATCTCAGGCAATCCACTTGGCAAGTCTCTGGCTTAGAGCAGCAGTGGGCTAGCAAAACCCAATGATCGTCTATCAGCTTTACTCGTAATCTATTTTAAAATGAATTACATCCTACTATGAGTGCCCTGTGAAAACATCATCACAGTTAGGATAGTGCACACATCTATCACCCATATGTGTCCTTGTGGCCATCTACGAGTCATCCCACAGGGCCAGGTAGCTACTGAGCTCTTCTTCAACACACACCAGTTTATGACTCACACTTGCATAGAGACGCCACTGTACTGTACGGACTGTTTTTCCCAATGTCTTTCACTCAGATCTATTATTTTGAAATTTGTCTGTCATATTCTATGCACCCAGCGTTCATTCTCTGCAAATTCCATAGAACATTCCCTTGAACTGCATACCAGTTTGTTTTTCCATTCCCTGTACGGGCAGACCACAATTTATTCCCCATGAACACTGAGGTGTTTCCCCGTATCTATTCCCTGCAAATGCTGAGGCATGTTTACCTGGATGGGCATATCACAATCTGCCCATTCATCTATCTTAAGACATCGAGCTGCTTCCGGCTCAGCACCACGATGCAGAGTAGTGTGCACGTTTATGCATTAGTCTCCCCATGGACACATGTCACCAAACTACTTTCCAAAGTGGCTCTCCCACTTTATGTTCGGGGGGGGGGGTGAATGAAGTTCATGCTGCATCCCGCCCAAGCCAGCACTCTACAGAGCCAGACAACTCTGTTTAACTGAGCTTCTAATAGCCTGTGGTAGTGTTTCACAGTGGCTTCCAGGCACCTAGCCACACTTCCAA